TAAAACATATACATTCGCTGGATCTGGATGCAGTTTGAGCTTTGTCAACAACTCTTTCAACTGCATCCGTTCTGGCTTGTTGACGGAGCAGCACAGTGGATTTCCTGTTGTATGAAGCATTTGTCTCTTCAAGGAAAACTCATGCTCCAGGTTTGGAGATTTCTTTGATGTTAAATAGTTGGTTTAAAAAAAAGCCTGATCACCCCACTCATAAAGCTGTGGAAATCTGGTTAATTTGTTATTTTCTTATATACATACACCTTTATTGTTCCCCAAGATTAATGGGGTCCCGAGTGTCTCCAGGAGCAGCAGGACCACATCAGTATGGCAGAGCTGCCTCTCTGTTCCTGACAGCAATCCCATTGATTCCTCCCTCTTCCTAACAGCCCTGACCTCAACATGCATGCGGGTAAAACCACAAAGTGATTGTTCGAGATCGCTGGAGATTATTCTTTCCACACGTTTAACCAGGATCTGATAAGAGTTTATAATCACATGTTTATGTCCCAGACATCCTATTAAACTCACACGATGTACAAAACTGGAAAAAGTAAAATGATTTTGCCTCCTTCATTTCTTCTGGTTTTAAAATCAGACAAAAACTACCTGAGAAAATATAAAATGCAGGCATCAATTGTATTTATGAAGGAAATAAATGTATCCAAACCAACCTGGCCCTGAGAGAACAGGGAACTGCCCCTCCTTTTAAATAAATCGCTTCAATAAAACCTGTCTGCCGATATAGGGAGCCTAATGGGCCATTCCCATCTGTACCGGGTCGGCCCGGGCCGGGTAGCGTAGGTTGTTTACACATCTGGGTGGCCTGGTATTTTTCCGGGCCAACCAAGGCTCATTCTCAGCCCTCTTCTCGAGGGGGTCTGCTTCAGGCCGACCAGGGCCAACACACCCACTGCTGACAGCAAATTCACACCTTCCATTAGAGCAAGCCTCTGATTGGTGGGTAGAATCAGCCCACATGGGCTTAAGGCAAGGCTGTGTGGAATCAACCGGGCCAGGCTGGGGCCGACTGGGGCTACCCGGCCCGGGCCGACCCGGTACAGATGGGAATGGCCCATTAGTCTCCTCCCTTTCCGGTCGGCTCATGGGTCCCCGAAAGGACGAAGAAATGAATGCAATTCACAGACACCATATGTGAAATCCATGGCACAAAATAAGCAAATTAAGAAAATAGCATTTTAGCCACATTGACTTGCATTAATTGTTTTGTTCTTCTGGGGACCCATGGTGCGGAAGTAGATGGGCGTGACTTAGGCTCCCTAAAGGATCTCAGCATCGACTGGAATCGGTTCCAACTGTTAGTTTTTCCCGGAATCGTTCAAAGTTCTTTATTTCGATTCCTAGAATGCCGGGCAGAAGAGGAATCCGTGGCGATCTCCGTGAAAAATAAACGTGATCTGCAAATTTTGATCAAGGCTTTTCAGAGCTGATCACACCAGCTGTCTATGTGCAGCACGAGCCCCCCACCCCTATAAATAATGATAACCTTTTTTATTTCTCTTTTGAACTATTTCTGTGGAGAGTTTTCATGTTTAAAATCTGTTAGATGTAGCTGCTGTCAGTAACAATCTAAGTTTCACTTCCTGTTCTGACTGAATGCTGCTGCAGCATGGAGGTGTAGTTCTCAGTCATCCTGGACGTGATCATCCTGAGAGTTTTAGCTGAAGACAGCTGCACGTTTCTGGATATGTTGGAGACATTTAGCCTCTCATCCCAGAGGCTTCTTCCACACTTTGGTTGTGGTCAGAAACAAACACACTGGTTGTGCTGCAAGTCTTTTTCTTTTTTCTCCAAAACGTGTTTTTGTCTAAATGAAGGTGATGTTGTTGTTCATAGAGTTAAAATTCATGTTGAAGTTGAGATTATTTCATCCAGTAGGACCTGTGGTTAGCTGGCTCATGTAAAACATGTCATGTCTTGAAAGAATCGGAATCGGGAATCGAAACAAGAAATTGGAATCTGAATCGTTCAAAATGAAACGATGCCCAACCCTACACATCATGTCCCATTGTAAAATGTTTTAAAAGAACTGCGTCCTGATTCAATTGGAAATTTAAAACCACATTTTATGTTGATGAATAAAGGCAGCTTGGGGTGTCTAATGTACCAAATAGCTGTGCTGTCCTTTGTAAATCAGTAATGTTGAAATGGCCACTGAGAAACTGTTTGTTTAGAGAAAAGCTGGTTTAACACGTCATCGCCGTAGAGACCACCTTGATCTGCATGAGCCAACCCGATATGCTAACCACAGAAAACACTAGCCTGAGCTACCACTAACATTAGCCCGAGCTACTGCTAACATTAGCCCGAGCTACTGCTAACATTAGCCCAGGCTACTCAATTCAAGTCAAGTATTCTTTATTCCAGACTCTTGGTCCAATTCACAGAAGTCGAAAAACATTTTAGAGATAAAATGAAATGAGCACAGTATGACACACTAATGCACAAGAGACAAATAATCATGAAAAACAGAAACAAGTGACAAAAATAACAGCAATGTGAAGATAATGTATAAATTATAGTAACTCCTTAGTCAAAAAATACTTTTAAACCAGTGTTTCCAGATCTTTGACTGGTAACGAATTGCACTGACACAGGTATTGGTTAGATTGAAAACAATCATTTTTTTAGAATTGTTCAACCTACAAATAAATGTATATTGAAACCTTTAGCTCAAACTACTGCCTGTGCTCGCCTGAGTTACCACCAATACTAGCCCAAGCTACTGCTAACATTAGCATTGTGCTAATTTTGGAGCACTCACGTTCCAGGATGTACTGAGCATATCCAGACTGAATGCCAGATAGATCCACAACTTGCGGTCCTTGTTCTCTTCTTGTTATGCGTCTGGAGTCAAACTAAAGCATTTTCACACCAAATGCGGCATGGAGGCGCTCGACCTCCGTACTTCCGGACAGATTACCATTAACAGAGAAGTGTGCTGAACATCTCTGGATATCTGCTCCCCCAAGTGCACCATATTATTAGAAATTTGTGTTGATGAATACACATGTAAACATTCAGGGCTGCCAATTCTCATATACGTTCTCACGCCGTGCCTCCAATGCCTCACGCTGACCCCGACCACCACCCCGCTCATTGAACAGGGTGAGACGGTCTGTGGAAATGGGACCCTAGGCTACGTTCACACTGCAGGCCTTGATGCTCAATTCCCATTTTTTTTAGTAAATCAGATTAGTTTGTGTGGCCGATATATCTATATGTCTGTGGTTCATTCTATGACTGAAATGCAACATCAAACTCTCTTCAGTGTGAACTCACATGGTGGAGCCGAAACCAGAAGCGGCGGAGTTGTGATGATCTTGTGGATAAATTGTGAAAGAAAACTTTCACACCTGTTAATTCTTCCGCATTGGGCTAGAAACTGTTTTAAAAACTGTAAACTACTTTAGTCCTTTCTCCCGCCATCACCCTGAATTATAATTCACTGAAAATGTTATGGTATTAATTCACGGAGAGTCCCCCTCTCACGGAGAATTTAGCTTGTAAAAGTTCGCAGTAATCATGACTACAAACTAGAAATCGGCACGTCGCATATGTGACGTCACCACATAATCTGCTCTCCCCTGACTTAGCTGCTACTCACCAAATGACCAGATTTTTGGTGGTTCTTTCCTCCTGTGGGAAGTTTGCTGAACTTTCAGCCCTTTTCCCTCGGTTTTCTCTGTGTCTGGTACGATGACGCCACTTTCGTGATGCACATTTGTAGTCCTGGACTGGGGGGTGGGGCGGCGGTGGGGGGTCATAACTAAGCAAATAAGAATTCAGCCATTTTTAACCACATATTAGGCAGACATAAATAATTTTTTAAGCCACTCAAGATCCCAAAATGACTCCACCACTCAGGGTGGGGCTGGCAAAAGAATGCACCAAAACAAACGAAAGGTGAGATAATTACATAGAAAAACAAGCAATAAACTGAGTGGTAACCCAGAGATATGGAGGGGGGGGGGGCATATATCTTAGAGAAATGAAGACTGTGGGGGTTCAGGAAACCCGTGCAGGCAGGTTTAGACCTGCCCACCCTGTAAACAGCTGTCAGCAGCAGAAGAGAAGGTGCTCATGAGAACCAGGGGACCGCTTTGCCTCTGGTTGCAGCGCACGGTGGTCTGGTTCAACATCAAGACCGCTGATTTGCAGTCGACTGTTGACTCTTCACTTACGAAGCCCGGCAATCTCCATCTGCTGAATGAACACAAGCTTTGGTTGCTGCCTCGCTTAATCTTGTTTCTGACACATCCTTGAGGAGGAGGCAGGCCCCGAGAGGTGGAAGCCAAGCAGCAGATGGAAGCAAGTCTTCCAGGAAATGAGTAGCAGTGGCGGGGCGAGAGCTGCCAGTTTTATTTTTGGTTCAAGAAAAGCAGAACAGACTGAAAAAAGAAGCATTTAGGCATATGTAAGGTGAAAAGATGGAGTGAGGGTAAGCTGTTTGGAGGCTAGCTGGGTGGTAGTCCAGAGCTGCAGTGAGGCCCTGCATACTGATGACCTGGCTGCAGCAGCACTCCGGCGGTTATTCATCAGGCCACTAAAGCAGCACAAACAAGTCCGAGGTGAAGCCTGAGTGGTCCAGCCTGGTTTTTCCTTTTCTTTGTGAGGAGCTTTGTGCAGGAAGGACAACGAAGAAACAGAAAAACACATCAATGAATACATCCAAGACGGTTAGAGCCGGGCGGTGATCTGAGGCCAGCTGTTGGCCCCCCTCCTGAGCAGAAAAAGGAGTAATTAATTGCGGAAGTGGCTGATGCGGAGACCAATTCACTTTTAGGACAGTTTGATGAACGAGCCAACATTAAAATTCACCCTACCTGCGATGGAATTACACAAGGATGTTTAAAGAAAAACACTTAATGAATCAGATCAGCTCACAAAGCATTGGACACAGCTAAGTGCTTCACTCTTTTCACTGTGAAGAAACAAGAGCGCCCTCTGGTGTTCTGATAGGAAATAAAGCTCTGAAGACATGATATTTTCCCATTTATTACCGCCCATATACACATATATCTTTATGTTGCCATACAATGTTAAGCATCGGGATCACTATCAACAGCGGGGTGAAAAATATTACAAGGACTTCTTAGAAAACACATAAAGGCACGCCTACATGCCTGGAATTTAAACAGGTGAGTGACTCTATAGGATAAACATTAAAGAAAAGAAGAAGTGTGATTAAATCTAGTGGCTAATCAACAAGAAAATACGAACATTTTTATCTCTGAGCACACAGATGATTGGAGGAGCAAAATGCAGCATAATGAACACCTGCTGGGCTGCGGGGCTCCTTGGTGTCTCTGGGATCCTAACATGTTGTTGTGAAATGCTACATACAGGAACAACATGAAGGCCCTGAAAATAGATGTGGGTTACCATAGTGACAGTAGCAGTTTTTTTACAGCAACACAGAGGAGAAACGGCACTGATGTCTTCAGAGGTGGTTTCCGGAACATCACCATGCAGAAGACAGCAGGAATGTGATGAACACATTATTTACACCAGAGGTCTGTGTTTGTAGCACAAGAGCACAACTCCATTACAGAAACATCAAAGTGCACAGATAATAAAATATTGCAAGTACTCATAAAAACAGCACATATTTCTTTGAGGAAGATTGGAATGGTGAGTGATCGGTAGCTCACAAAGCAACAGCCGATGTGCCTAAGTGCTCCGTTCCAGAGCGGTGTTGTGTCTCTGTTACCTGGCTGGAGGAGTCAAATCAAAAGAGCAAAATTCAAATTAGAATATTCAGTCGTGACTTTGCCGTGTGTGTGTGTGTGTGTGTGTGTGTGTGTGTGAGTGTGTGTGTGTGGAGGGTTCTGTTACATTTATCAAAGGAACTTTCTGGTGCCACGTTTCAGATAACAACATAAAATCAAACCCAACCAAAAGAGCTACAGCAAAAACATAAAAACACACCGGAGGAATGTTGATGTGCTGATAAGCTGTCATGCATGTACAGAACAACCACCACACATGACACGGGAATCTCCAGCCACAACCTCACAGGGAACCAAGTCCTCAGGTCCTCCTCCTGAAGCAAAGTTACTTCACAGCCGTGACCCGTGACCTACGCCGAAGAGCCGGAGGTCACTCTGTGCTCTCCTGTCCCACCTCTGCATCCTCTTCTCCGAGAATGGCTTCAGGAACACCACCCTCTCCCTGGAACAGCTCCTCCATCAGCTGCTCGCCAGCGCTGCCGGCCCGCGATGCCCACAGAGCGGCGCCCTCACGCAGGCCAAGCGAGCGCAGCAGCCTTGCGTAGTCCAAAAACGCAGCCTCAATGAGTTTATGTGCAAGCAAGAGTCAAGGAGGCAAAGAAACATTCTGCTTTTATCTTTGTGTTCCCAAAGGAAGTTAGAGGAAGCTGAATTGAAGAGGAACTTGTACTGAATCCTAAACGGTGGCTAAATTATTTCTGTTCTAAACTTTATAAAAGAAGAATCTGCTGCGGATCAGCACTGGATGCAAGTGCATTATCAGCCTGGAGAATGGTTTAAGTGAGAGTGATGGCGGTAAACCAGACACTGGCAGAAGCGTCCATAATTGGTACTGATTAATTCACTAAGCACTGGTGATGAATAATACCAGTGCAGTAAAACACACATTTTTATGCCTTATCAGCAAAAAAAAGTCCTAATTTTCACTAAGATACAAACTCCCACCAATTTTCTCCTTTCAATCTGGCACTTCATCCCATTTATGGATTAAATATTGTTTTAACTTTGACTATAAACTCCTTTCTTCTTTTATAATGTTCTCACACATTGAATTACACAATATGAATGGGTTTAGACAACAGACATGGTTATTTAGAAATAATTGCATTAACCCTCCCACTGTCCTAATGGGAGTGACCCCGTGAGGAAAGTTGACCATTGAGCAGGATTGATGGTTTATCCCTTGGGTCCACGCGGCAGGGGTGAGGAGCAGGCCCGGTGTCAAATCGGCAAATGGGCGGGCCGTAATGATTGTTTTGAGATGGTGACTGTGGTGCGCAGGCGCAGCTAACGGTGAGTTGCAAGTATTGGTTCAGTAAAATTGGTTACTTTGTCTTAAGTTTTGATTACATCTTTAATTGGCTTACATAATCGGAATAAAACAATGAAGAATCTTAGCTTTTCAGTTATTTATGTAGAACAAGTTGGTGACGCAAAACGACGGATTTGACCCGGAACAGGGTATCTGCAGGTTTAAGGGAGCCAAATTTAAGACTTTTTAAGACCCTTTTTAAGGCCACTTTGACCAAATTTAAGCAATTTTTAAAATTAAATCTAAGCTATAATTTCCAGCTATTGCCTGGAACCGGTGCTAACCACGTCGCGAACTTGGGATTAACCATCCAGTTACCATTAAACTTGCACTTCCCCATGGCACAAGCTCCCACTAGCTTAACCAGCTAATGTGCTCATCTAAAAATAGCCCCCTTTCACAACCAACTGAATGTGTACGGTTCCGCTTACGGCAACATCGTACACAAAAAGTGCTAAAGACTAACTAGCAATTCACGAAAATTTTATCGAAATAAAATAATCTTGTTTATTGGGTCTTTGGTAATTTAAGACCTTTGGAAACTGGATTTAAGGATTGTTTGTCATTTTTAAGGATTTTTAAGGCCTTAAATTTGGAAAAGCCAATTTAAGACTTTTTAAGACTTTTTAAGGACCCGCGGATACCCTGCGGAAGTATATGTATGTAACGTCCACCAGACAGATTATAAACATGCAAAGGGGTTGAAAAAAAACACGATTTATTACTGCCCCCCCCCCCCCACCCCAGAAAAACCCACTGCCCCTCCAGGTGAAGTCCTCTGGCGCCGGGTCTGGTGAGGAGTGAGCACCACCTCACCCCTGCCACCTGGACCTCAAGGGATAAACCATCAATCCTGCTCAATGGTCAACTTTCCTCACGGGGTCACTCCCATTAGGACAGTGGGAGGGTTAAAGATGTCTTGACCTCCCCAAAAGAACTATTTGGATGGACAAATGTATGAATTACAACACATCGTATCATGTTTGAGTTTTATTGCAGTGTTCTCACAAATAGCCAAGAACCTGTTGACTTTTATTATATTTTAGGATTTTTTTTTCTAAATGGGAAGTGAAGGGTGTTTTTAACATCTCACACTTCGTCCACAAAACACTGTTCAAACAAATACATTCATGTGTACAGAAGCGTACAGGTGTCACTCACTTTACATCTTAACCTTATTGTTCTAACAATGTAATATTCATAATTGTATGATATAAAAATCAAGTTTGTACAATACAAACAAACACGATAAATATGTAGTAGTAGTACAAACATTTTAAGTACTTGATGGTATGTCTGATAACTGAAGCACATTGAATCGCCTCTGTGTTTGAAATGAGCTCTATAAATAAAGCTGCCTTGCCTATATTGTAAGAACGTGAAAGTTATATTGTCGGAACGATAAAGTTATACCGTGATTTCGCTCACATTTTATCTTGCGTGGGTGGCAGCTCTATGCTTCTGTAGAAAGTACCCATTTTTTAAAAACTTGTAAGTAAGTAAGTAAAAGTTTATAAATCACAACGCGCTGTACAACATGAGTGAGATCAGGGCAAATACCTCTAACCAATAAAAACTTGTAGCTTCCTCACAACAAATGCTTGCACACTCAAGAGTAACCCCCAAATTCCACTACCTCCGCTCCGCTCCGACACGAACGCCGGAGCAAAATCGGTCCCGTTCTAGTCAATCAGAGCAATTCCACTACTGCGGCCGTGCTCCGGCAGTGCGGCGCCGTGCGCCGCCCTCTGTTCCGGCGTCCGGCAAAAATAGAATCGATCCTATTTTTGCCGGAGCACCTCCGCAGTAAATGGACAGAAATCACCACCGCCCAACAGGAAAAGGAGCAAGCACAACTTCCGTTTTTCACAATAAATCGATAAACAAAAGGCGTTTTTTGTTTCATATGCACAGGTTTAACAACTTTTAACAACTATCAATGGCGGCTGAAGTTTAAATGCACAAAAGTAAGCCATAAATACAGTTTCTACTATCAAAGTAGTCACACTTTGTTGATCCAAACACTGCTGATGTCGCAACACAAATGATGGGCAGATTAAACAGTTCATGTCGATGCTTCTCCCACACAACGGGTGTTTGGATCTAACTTCCGCGTTTATTGCTCGGACTGTATCGCAAGATCTCGAAAATCCCGCGCATGCTTGTTTGCCCACCTCAGGTCTCCGCACCGGAGCGGAGCCGTTGTAGAGCGGGTACCAGTAAAAATTGAGTTCGGAAGCGAGCGGCTGCGGAAGGCGGGGGCGGACCGGAGCGGAGCGGAGGTAGTGGAATTTGGGGGTTAATGACCTCTCTGTCCCTTCTTATTTTGGGCTTTGGTACTTTTATGCCCAAATATCACCTATCACCAAAATTTGCTGTGCAGTAATTTAACTCTTCAAGCATTTCAAATATAATTAATTCACTTAACATTTACAAATCCACTCAGTTCTCATCATTCCCTTAGCTTTTTTGTAGAAAAGGCGGAGTACCTAGTTGTGACAACCACAATGGAATGTAGATGAAACTAGTTAAGCTGCTATAACTTTTGAATAACATGGCTGATATTATCTAGAAGGCTCAAAAAGATCATTTCTGTGAGGATTTATCACAAATGTGATAAAGTGTGATGAGAAAACAGGAACGGACCGACTCATGTTTCACTGAAAACCTACCGTCAGACATTATGTGCTTAAATTATAGATTTAAAGTTTTCTTCCTACGTTCGCAACAATAAATTCAACCATTTAAGGTGACCTTTATGAAAGGAAAGCAGACGCATGTCTGTAGCAGAAACGAGCAGCTCTGGACATAAATGACCCTCCGAGAACTTTAATGGGTTTTAAAAAAGGATATTGGACGAGTCGTTGGCCTCCATCACCCCGTACTTCAGACAGGCCTCAATGAAGAGGGCGGCACGATCAAAGTACCTCATGCTGGTCAGGAGGAGGGAAAGAGAAAGACACAGGCAGGAGGAGGTTAGAGCTATTACCAGAAAGCAGCATCGCCCCAGCCGTCCGGTCTGTGATGCTGGAGCATAGATCAACCCTGTCACCCTGACGGCCGTGTAATTCTGTGGGAGAGCTTTTCGCTGCCGGGGGCATCAGTGAACAAGAGCTGTCAGGAAGAAGGACCGGTACACCGGCATTGGATCGATGCTGTGGTGAAAGGCACCAGGTCAGCTTGCCCCACGGACTGGGATGTGGCCTTTATTACACTTAAGGGAAAGAAACTCCGAGAGCCTCGAGGTGTCTGAGCCTCACTGAGCCAAAAGCAATACATTCAGAAAAATAAGTGATTGTAATTGTCGCTTTATGTAAATGTAAATAAAAGTTGTTCTCTTTTATTTTGAAAACCAACATTTAGGGGAGAGGAAAATGCTAAATGTTGGTTTAAATGCAACAACCATTGCATGCACCTAACCGGGCGTTTCCACCGGACGCCTCAAGCACCGCACAACATCCGTGAAACATTCGCGAAAACTAGTATACAGCAATTTTCTGCCGTTGTGGCGGACGTGTGCGTTTCCACCCGCCTTGAAGCGTTACATTTTAAGCGTAGGGGTGTGTTGCCCATGCTTTTAGTCTAGTTTTTTACATGAAATGCTTCCAGAATGTGTCAAACTCCAAAGCTCAGGTCAGGCCAGACAGGAAGTCAAACACAAAAACAGTGTGAAGCATAGGGAAACTTTCAAAATAAAAGTTACGGCCAGATTTCCAGTTGTTTAACTAGTAAAAAAAGATAAAGTAGGTCATAACCTGAAACGCCTCGTATCTGGCATAAACAGAACAGAAAATAAACATACATGCAGCCGTCTTTCTCCTTGCTTGTTATCACATGAACTGCCGAAATCACGCGTGCTCTTTCAATTCTGATTTCGTGACACGCAGGACCAACTGCTTGGAACGCTTTCGCTGCCTGAAGGGAGATCACAGATAAAACGCGTCTTTTACATTACGCTCTGCTTACTCATCCAGTGGAAAGGCTGGGTAAAAGGTGATTTTGGGATTCTTTCTCATACTAGCCGTTAGCTCATCAATCTCGGTGAAATTAAACGATTCCTTCTGTAACGGAATGAAATGACTGTTTCCCCCTCTCCTCTGACACAGAACTAGTCTGCATGAGATATGGCCTCAAGGTCTCATGCATTCGCTATAAACTGCTTCTTTTCAGCTCAACAGAAGAATGAAGAATGGACTCTCTCCTTTTAAGTAATCAAAGAACTCTATTTTAATAAGCTAATCACGCAAAGTGTTAGTCAATAAATAAGATGTGACCAATCTGTGGAATCAAAATATTAATTACTTTATTATAATCCTATAGAACAGGGATTCCCTAAGTGTGTGAGCTGCCGCTAGGGGGTGCGCGAGGTGAAAAGTGTAATGGCTGCGGAGCTCAGAGAAGTCTGTCATATGTCACCATTAGCATAGAAACTCATTTGTGGGTGGGCCAAAGAAAAAGTAAGTGGGCCCGATAAATGCAACTGAAAACAAGTATATTTAGTGTGTGTGTGTGTGTGTGTGTGTGTCCTCCGCATGTGCCCTAGCTTCATAATAATAATGCACTCCGAGCTTCAGCACTCTGGCCTGCGCACGCTGTCAATAGCAAGATATGTTCCGTATTTGATCATTTTTAACGGTGTTGGAGGAATCTGAAGGTGAGTCATTCTGGCAGATTGTAATTAACACCTGTCTCATGCAGGTGTTCTGACATTGTAAACCTCACACACAGAACATTGTGGATGTAACTAAATAAGTCAAGAAATGATTCCCATCTGAGCATTTTAGCATTATTATATTATTATAGTAGCACACTGACCGTGGGACAGCATTCTAAACGTGTCAGGCTATTAACAGCGCGCTGAAGATCTGAAGTTCTGAGTGCGGCTGTCAGAGGTCAGACGCGTTCCAGCGGAACCACGGCTCACGGGTGCACATGTGAGCACATCTGGGCTGGGCAGAAGTAGTTTTACAACATTGATTTGAATAGCGCCAATAACGAGACGCGGTGACTGAAGTGGCTCATGGAGCTGTGCCGCACACACACACACACACACACACACACACACACACACACACACACACACACACACACACACACACACACTGATTCAACAAGCGTACGCTGCGCCGCGCCGTCAGACTGAAGGCAGAAATGAGCGCTTCCTCCTCCGTGATAAAAACTTTTAAGAGGCTTTATAACATTTTTCATTCCAGGTCAAATAAAGATATTAGCTTCTATTTTGGGATGACGTATTAAAATCGAGCCAGTGACTCCTCATGAACCTGACTACAACTCATGTTACTGCAGCATTTGTTATTCCAGTCCACGTGGCAGCGGATCGCAGATTCAGCCACACCATAAAACAGCAATAAGTCGGTCTGAGGCAAAAGTGAACCTCATGGCTATATCTTTTCCATCTTTTCCTCTTTAGACATTTGATTACGCACAAGTAGGTGACCAGTTCAGGTTTACGCAGAGCAGAAGGAAGGAGAGAGCTCTGGTCACAGGTTAAACGTTCCTGCTTTAAGAAAACCGTTAAATTGCATTGTTTACGTGCTACTTGGGCACTCTAAATATTTATTTAAAATTAAATCAAAGGCAGTTCTAATGGTATTGAATGTTTATTAATTACTACTTAAAAAAATGAAAGTGATGGGGAAAAAGGTCGATCATATTTTTAACCCTGTCTGACTAGTTTAGCTTGACGTCTGATATACATATATATATACATGTATATGTATATATATATATATATATATATACATATATATGTATATATATATATAGCCATGCCCTGATGCGGGGGCTGGGAGGTGCGTCGACATGGTCGGGACATAGAAGGGGGTGCGCGGCTAAATAAGTTTGGGAACCACTGCTATAGAATATAATAAGTAATATGACTTTAATTGTTCCAATAGGTCTGATCTCATGCAGCGTTAAAAGACATGAAACATTACTTTCACTGATCCAATCAGAATCTGCCAGAACTGACGGAGGCGTGGTTTTGGTGGTGTTTGGGAAATCTGTCAACTTTTCATTCGACCATAAACCAAAACATCCCAAGTATAAAACTATGCCCACGTCATCTTTAACGCCAGTTCAAAGCGTTCTAGAGAAGTTGTCGGAGTGGCCAATCTGTAACTTTCCTCTTCAACCAAAAGAACCAACGACAAGCTGGATAAAATCTGTTGCTGTTCCAACTGCTGCAACGGTTCCTTTCAGAATAAAAGCCGAACCATCAAGACCCAGGTTTGGGTCTCACAGGACGCCAACAAAATTGTCGTGACCCAGGAGTATCTCAGACTGGTCTGGTCGGCATCCGCTGCTTTTCCTACCGGCTTCGGTTCCAGAAAAGGTCAAGCTGGACCTTGACATTCCTGATCTAACGGGGACTTCCACCAGGGTAGGTGGACCGGCAAATGGCGTTGAATGTGTTTATGAATCTCCTAATCGAAGCTTAGCGCGACAACATCACCTTCATTTCCAATCACAACTAATCGCTTCTTCGGATTTGCTGGTTCTGAGCAACATTAAACCTCACCCCATTCACCGTCTCATCCACCTGAGTTACACCATACATTTAGTGTTTAAAGTTAGTCTAGTTTAATTTGTTAGTAATACATTTTTAAACTTTTGAACTTGACTCTCTCTCTTCTGTTGTCTCTGAGTGAACACGAAGCTGTTATCTAATCCCTGCAATAAAAAGTTCCAATCTTCTGTTAAAATAACCTCACAGATCCATAAGGTGGATTTCATATTTACTATGGAATCCTACGCCTTATGGCTTATTAAATAAAATGTAATTTAAATCATTACACTTCAAACAGGGGCCATTTAGGAAGCTTCCTACAACAGGTAAACGTGATATTTATTTTTACGTTTTACAGAGAACCAATGAACCCTTTAAAACATGAAGTATGAAATAATAATGAATAATTCATTTATTAAAACAGAACTATTTATTGGCTAATGCTAATAAAACAACTATATACAACATAACAGCAATACATCTGGCTCCTAACGCCTGTAGATCCTCAACCAGGGGGCAGTAGACATGTATAGGACTGGAGGTGGCAGGTTTCTGATGAAGGTACTAATCCTGACGATCCTTCTGGATGTTTTATTGAGAATTTGTGACAATAATCTATAAGGAGTTACAAGTTTTTCAGCATGAATGACTTTAAACACCACTTAGCTTCTCGTCTTAAAGCAGCCATATCATGGAAAAATCCCTTTTTGGAGCTTTTTACCATGTGATATAGACATTTCCTCATGAGACATACCCCCAAACCCGTTTTTGGGAAGTCGGGAGCGATTGGAGGGCGACCCGCACCCATGGCAATCACCGCCCGGGTGGATGCCTCACAGACTGGGACGTTACTCGAGGTGAACCGTAAGCTAGACAATGTCCTTGCTGCGTTGCCGGTATTAGTGCGCAAAATGGATGTCATCTCGGAGAGGGTCACTGGACGGTGTGGAGATGTTTAATACCTGAATTGGCTTCACTGGAGGACTTGAATGATCAATACAGACTTTAAGGCAGAGAGGAAAATTATCTCTGCCTGACCCAAACAAAGTCTTGTTATCCAATCTGACGCCAAAGCAGCCTTGGAGCTGCATGCTACAACCCCCACGATGGAAGGAATGCAGACAGATGCTGTGAAAACCCGACCTACCTCCCCGCCTTCAGATTGTGGTCTCTGCGTAGCGAGGTCATCAAAATGCAGGAACTCAATGTGCTCTGTGTTTTCCCATGACCTCCCACCCACCTGTGGATACAGTTGGCTGAGCGCCACACGGGCTGCTCTCGCTGAGGAAACCAGGATCCCAGCCCCCCCTCCCTCCCTATCGGGTCTCATGTTGTGAACTGTGACGTTCGTGCTTATACGTTGAGGTGTTTTTTTGCATAGTAGAGCTACTCCCTGCCAGGAGTAACTCTGGTCTGCCTTTTTCCCTCCCCCAACTCTCTCCTCATGTAATCCCCTCTTCATCTAATTGAAATGGGCGCCGTTATGGCTGCTCTCGTGGTCTGCCTGTATCTGTTCTGTCTATATGTGTGAGTGTAACCTTGGTCAGGCTGTTCTGTGGAGTCAAGTTCCTATGCTCTGGTTCGCTGGAGCGCTGGCGAAAAAATTCTCTCTGATTCTCTGATGAGACATACCCCCAAACCCGTTTTTGGCTGCATCCCTGCATTTTCCTGGCTCAGCTTCAATTTGGTCCATGTACAGATTTTTCCTGCATCCAAGAGAAAGTAACCCATTGGCCTCATCAAACATTTCTCCTCCCCTCAAGATGGTCTGGTCTCGGTTCTGAAACCTGGACATTCTGACAAATTACTTCTGCATTGGGGACAGAACGCCGGCGTAAAAACCACGCATCCCCTCTACAAACATGTGTGTGATGGCCAGCACAGGACATGTGTGTTAGGCGACTTTTGCTCTGTAACGGAGTTGGTAGTCTGGTGGTTAAAGGGCCAGGCTGGTATGTAGTTTGCACTGGTGCAGGAAAAGATGCATTTTGTCTGAGCAGGCGTGGGTGGAGCTTCACTCAAATGAACCGTTTTATTTTTTGGGTATAAATTCAGGCTGACAAAAATAACTTATATTTTAGATAAATGACATCACAATAGTGATAATGGTAATATTTTATTTAGGGCCAGGACTTTAATGCCTTAATTATGATTAATTAATTAGAAAAAAAGGCGTGTAAAAAAAATTAGAGGGTGCTCGCCGCAGAACTACAAAGGTGGAGCTGCACCAGTCAGCCCCGCCCATTCAAGCAAAACTCAGCCTAGCCCACTGACTTCTTCTGTTTTTGTTTTTCAACTTTATCACAAACTAACCTGACCCACATGAATTACGGCTGTTACTAGTTTACAAATGTTAATGCTACGTTCTATGCTCCAATTAAACAAGATAAATATAACTTGCTACATGACAAAGCCTGAATATATCTCGAAACGAAAAGGTTTCTTTTAGCAAATATCTGCCCACAGCCGCTCCAACTAAAGCTGCCTACAACAGCATTTAAGGCTATTGAATGGGTTCTGGAAGTCCAGTGGCAAGATCGTCTACCTTAAGTTTTGCTTTCCCCTCAGCTGATGCTGGTTCGACTCTCGGTGGGATCAGCAGCAATCTATTTAGCCAGCTGAAACATTTAATTTGTTTATATTTTAGTTGTAATGTTTGTTTTCAGCAAAATATTTATGTCTCTAAAAGTTCTTTGAATTTGGTCGTTCCTAAACAGCATTTTAGTTTAAACTGCTCACAAACGGACTCACACTGGCTAAATAAACGAATAAATTAAAAAAAACAAACAAACACATTAGTCATTATATTGTAAACGGTATACCAATAAATGGTTGTAAAGTACTGGCAAGTGTAGCTAGAAAAGAAGAAAAAGGGTTATAAACTACTTCTATACTACCGCTACTGGGAGGCAAACCTGCGCAAAACTGCATGTCAATCTGTCTCCATAACCACTTCACAACTACATCTAATAAAAAGCAAGTGGCGTAACATTTAATTGTGCCATCCAGTGTGTCTTTGGAGATGGGATGTATGGTTTTTCCTGAGGTGTCTCAGTAGAAGTCATTTCAGAAATAATTTGTCAAAAAATTCACAGAATATCCAGATTTGAGAACCAAGACCAGACCCGCTTCGGGGGAGGAGACCAAATTGAAGCCGAGATGGGAGGAAAATGCATGAATGAGGCCAAAAATGGCTTTGGCGTGTTTCTTATGAGGAAATGACAATATAACATGGCAAACAGTTCCAAAAGTTAGATTTTTAATTATAAGGAACCTTTACAAAAACTGTTCAATTAACTTCTCAACTCCGTCCTCAATCTTGCATTTTAGATGAGCTAGGACACCCTCTTTGGTTCCAGAATGCTATCAAGTCTGACAACTGGAAGGAATTGGACTGACTCTGATGGAATGGGCGGGGCTGACTCTGGTGCAGCTCCACCTTCTGGTGCAGCTCCGCCTTTGTGGTTCTGCAGCGAGCACCACTTGAAAAATTAACGCATTTAATCACAGCTTGCATTTTGAGCAAGGCGGAACCTTTGTCATTGCACCATTTCCTTGTAGACCGAATATCACTGACGCACACAACAATGCACAGTGCTAATGGCTACAAAAACGGAATAACAACAGAAAGAAGTTGCCTTGCTTGGACTGATGCAGGATTTAGGAAGCACGTCCGCCTCTTTTCTTAACTTGGAAAAAAAAAACTTCAGACAACAACGGAGTCCGTGTCTCGGACATTTTTCAGAGATCGTCTCTGCTGCAGCTGCCTGGTGGCACTGGAAACTTTACAAAAGTTGTGGTAAGCAATATTTTTAACATTTACGTAACATCTGTGCAGCGCAGAAAGCTCCAGACAGAATAATTCTTTGCCCTAACAGTAGTTTATGAAAATAGTCAGACAAACGAGAGGCACCTGGTTGCCGCTGGGAGAACGCTCCGTGTTCTCACTACTCTGTAAACAATAACAAACAACGTGTCTTAAAGTTGAAAACAGAAGTTTAATTTAAAACAGAAACACTCTAAAAATGCGATTAATTTAGATTAATTAATTACAAAGCCTCTAATTAATTAGATTAAAATTTTTAATAGAGTCACGGCCCTAATTTTATTATATATTGTGCCTACTTCTGCTTTCAAAGATTTAAAATATCATGATCTGGCTCCTTTTAAGAGAAATTCTGAAAGCATGAAGACACGTATTTAGGTTTAACACACAGTAAATCACCGCATCTGTTTTTGTTTTTTTACCTGTGCAGCATCTCTCCAACTTTGTAAAAGCAGCCGAGGGAAAGCAGCACCAGGATGGCTTTGGATTTCTGGTTGACCTGCGGGGAGCACAGGTGTTCTGCCCAGCGCTTCAGCACATCTGAGCTTTCTGCTGGATTCAGGCGCACCTGGAGGCGCACACAGATGCTATAGTCTCATCAGGAGGCTCGCACCCACAGTGCATGAACAAGCAGCAGAGCTCCACAGCTCTTTTGGTGTTTCCTCTTTGATTTTAACTTTCACCGCCAACAAGAATTATACTATTAATAAAATATGGAGAAAAGGCATTCTGACAGTCTACATAGAATTGAATTGAACCCAAGTAGAACTATGTTGATGATTTGCTTTGATGGATGTGGTGGAGTTACCTTAGCAAGCCACGCGGCTCGGTTCCACTCCCCGTAGGTTTGCAGGTAGCGGCAGGCATCTGCTGCCTTGTCAATCAAACACAGCAGCTGAACTCCCTCTGAAAGAAAAAGAACGTGAAGTTGAGTTTATTATGCTCCAGTTCCCACTGACAACTAGACTCATTAATCTATTCTAAATCATGTCTCAATAGGACTGAAATGTGACCATTAAAGGGTTAAGGTGACATCTGTACCAATTTAAAACTGAAAACTAAGAAATCTATTACAGAAAAAATGTTTTAAAATATTAAACAATATGCCCTCACGCTGAAGAAACGCAACCCCGTAGCATGATGCTGCCACCATCGTGCTTGACTAATTACATCAGGTCTTGCTTCTGCACCAAACAACATTTTTGATAATTGTAGCCAAAAAGTTTAAAAAGAAAACAAGATTGTTTTTGCTGAATTTAGTCCAACCTGGATGATTGTGTTTGTCAGAAATCGTCTTTAATCCTGCAGCCACAGAGTCCACACATGGGAACATCTTTCTGATGAATACTACCTGCGAGCTTGCCATTAGCGATCATGTTGGTTGCCACTAGCTTGATGGTGGACTGCGAGGGGCCCGAGGAGGTGATGGTGGTCACCAGGCAGGCTTTCAGCGAGTCGCAGTAGTAGCTGGGGTTGTCCGCACTCGTCTCCAGCAGTAATTGCACTGCTCTGTCGGTCTGAGAGCCGTAACAAAGTGGACAGAGGTAGTGAAGAAAAACAAGGCATTAACAACTCTGGCAGGTAGGTGCTGCCAGACAGAAATGATCTTTATTATCATGCTTTTCATCTGGTGTAGATGAACACTCAATCTCAGGCTGGGGTCAGCGCGGGCTGTCCTCTGTCGGTCTGAGTGCTGGAGGACCATCTCTTCAGCACACAGCCAGCTGATTGCTGTCTGTGATTACACTGAGAGCAGGGACGACAGAGGAGATCCCACTCCCCACAGGGTGAGGCACAAGGTCCTCAGAACATACCGTAACACATCTGGGATTATGGAAATCTGCAGGTTTGATGAGTTGAAATCATTTATTTATGTGTAAAGTTATAAATTAGAGAAAAAAATCTAACACATCTTCCTATTAACGACTGTAACCCTGCAGCACAGCGCTGGTATTTTAAATATCATTTTAAACCTGTGGGAACTAAACAGGACGGGAGACACATGCAGGTGACTCAACCGACTCCTCCCACCTTAGATGTTTGGAGGTACTACATGTATTTGAGACTCCTATTGTGAAAGACTCTGAGTTCCACTGATATAAAACATGTCTTGGACTTAACTCATTCACTGCCAGTGATGACTAAAGTCGTCATTTTGCATGTTTTTACTGTGTTGGCGTCGGACGAGCCTCCACACCGTGAGAACAAACATCTCAGCAGTAAAGCCGATCTTCATCGCATACGTCACACGTCACGTGATAAGGAAGCAGAACATCCATGTGTTAGGAGATCGTTTTGGGCCGCTGCTGTAAAAAAAAAAAGTGAGGCGCGAACCGGAAAAGTGTCTGCCGATCACAATTCAACAACGGATTATGAAAGAACGGATAACGCTTGAAACGCGCGGAATCTTCCTGATGTAAGAGGTGAGTCTCTGCTTTGTTTTGGTTGTTTTGGCGTTGACATTCTCCTAGCGCACAACGTTCTGTCACTCTTAAAAAAACAGTAAAAACGGTGAGAAACGCTGGCAGTGAAGGGCTTTAGCGATCAGGAAACGGCTGGCAGTGAACGCGTTAAAATGCCTCTTAAAATTATTGTCATACCAATATACGTATTTTTCTTTCATTTAGCCAGTAAAAACAAAACCATAACCATCAAGTTACAACAACTTGTTCTTGACATTTGAATATCTCGGTCAGTTATTAGACTGAAACTGTTATGTAGCAGATACCCGATGAGTCACTGGACATATTTTAAAGGTTATTTCTGCATCTATAACTGCTTAAAATGCAAAAAAAAAGAGATGTGCTAAATGTTGTTGTGGAAATATAGCTCAGCGTCAGCATACGCTAACATAACACATAATATATCCCATCAGATCTTAATATCTTTCATTTAGAACCGGGGCAGCGTCCTTGTTGCTCAACATGACTTTAGCTTGTTGCAGAAAAGATGGTGGGAGAAATGCAACCCTTCAAGGCATGCCTGGCCTTTAATTAAATCTGAAATCTGCACAGAAATAAGCGTCAGCTGAAACAGATTGATTCCAACAAGAGTGGTGCAGCTCTTACCTGACCCAGCAGGAGGAGCTGGTCAGCACATTTCTTAGTGTGATCATAACTGGAGCGCTTCACCTCCTGCAAGTGAACCCGATCCAACTGGAACTTCTGTCGAGTGGGAGAGTCAGGGCGGAAAGTTAGATACTTCATTTGTTTTGTTGTGTTTAAAAAGTCAATCCTTGAGCGTGCGTGGGAGAGAGAGACAGTAAAGGAATGCACAAACCGACAACGTGCAGCAGACTTACAGCGAGTAATGATGAGCAAAGAGAGACGGGGAGACCGTTAAACAACTACAGAGTCCAGAGATGGAGGGTGTAATTATAAAGTCTTTAAAAAATTCAGGAGGCTTGCTGATGCCAGTGCCTCCTACTCTTCGTTTCATTACTGGTGGCTGATTCCTCATTATTTCATTAGACGTTCCCTGTTGGGAAGCTGTTTTCTTCTTTTCAGTCAGCAAATGATCATCATTAAACCCAAAAACAACAACAGCCGCAACAAAAATACAGCTTTGGAAAGCATTAGAGCCACAATAGGAGAAATGACAAAAGAGCAACAGTGCCTTTTAATTTTGCACATTATTTATCTTATAGGTTCATGTTTTTGCTTCTTATTAAAGCAGCAATCTGGAGTTCCCTTTCAGTCGATTCACTTGGTACAACACATATAGTATGGGATAATAATAATAATAATAATACATTTTATTTCAACAGTGCCTTTCTGAACACTCAAGGACACTTTACAGACAGAGATAAAATACACAACAATAAAAGATAAAACAGCATAAAACAAACAGACAGATTGGAGCAAAGAGAGTAACTGTTGGAATTCTAGACGGAACAGGTGGGTTTTGAGTCTGGTTTTAAAGAGAGTGAGGGAATCAATGTTACGGAGGTCAGGAGGGAGTGAGTTCCAGAGCTGGGGAGCAGAGCGACTGAAGGCCCTGCTCCCCATAGTGACCAGACGGAAAGGTAGGACAGAGAGGTGGATGGAGGAGGAGGACCTGAGGGAACGGGTGGAGGTTGAAGGATGAAGGAGGTCTGAGAGGTACGGTGGAGCTAGGTTATGGATGGCTTTGAATGTATATAGCAGAATTTTGAATTGGATTCTGGAAGTGACTGGGAGCCAATGGAGCTGCAGAAGAACAGGGGTGATGTGGTGGAAGGAGGGAGTTCTGGAAATGATGCGGGCTGCCGAGTTCTGGAGAAGTTGGAGTTTATGGAGGGATTTGTGAGGAAGACCGAAGAGAAGAGCGTTGCAGTAGTCAATACGGGAAGTGATGAGGCTGTGGACAAGGATGGCGACAGAGTGAGTAGTGAGGGAGGGGCGTAGGCGGTTAATGTTACATAGATGGAAGTAGGCAGACCGGGTAATATTGTTTATGTGGGACTGGAAGGATAGTGAGGAGTCGAGGATGACACCCAGACTCTTGACCTGAGGGGAGGGGGAAACTAAGGAGTTGTCGACAGGAAGTGTAAAGCTGTGGATTTTGGATAGTAAAGATTTAGTTTAGTTTAGTTTTATTTGTCATATGCAAGTTAGCACAGGGTCAACATTGCAATGAAATGTGTTTGACGAGCAGCGGTCTCTCAGCAGCATAATACAATAGAAAAAAGAACAAGGTATAATACAGTAAAAGCAAAATATTAAAGAGTCATGCTAAAAGTAAAAGCTTACTAAATAGATAAGTAAGTATAGATGACTAAATATAAATATATCTAAAAAAATGAGTAGTAACATTAAAATGAAGTAACCAGTGCAGATTAAATTTTACTTGTGGAGCTGTAGGGTAACATCTGTATCCTGTGTTGTGTGTGTTTAAGTGTAATGGTTGAGGTGTCGTATGGCTTGGCGGTAGAAACTGTTTTTAAGTCTCGTAGTCCGAGCAGGCAGACTCCTGTAACGCCTGCCAGATGGTAGCAAGGAGAACAGCTGATTTAATGCCGACAAGTAACATTTCTGTTTTATCACTGTTAAGTTTGAGAAAGTTTGATGTGAACCAGTCTTTGATTTCAGATAAACAATTGGTGAGGGAGGAAGGAGGAAGTGAAGAGGAGGGTTTGGAGGATACAGCGAGCTGGGTGTCATCCGCGTAACAATGAAAATGGATGTCAAATTTACGGAAAATATTTCCATGGGGAAAAAGGTAAGTGATGAAAAGGAGTGGACCGAGAACAGAGCCTTGGGGGACGCCAGTAGTGACAGGGAAGGGACGGGAAGTGAAGGATTTTAGTTGAATAACCTGAGTACGGCCAGAGAGATATGAACGGAACCAATCAAGCGGGGTATGAGAAATGCCAAGGGAAGACAATCTATGGAGTAGGATGGTGTGAGAGATGGTATCGAAGGCTGAACTCAAGTCGAGGAGGATGAGAATGGAGAGCAGTCCAGTATCGGAAGAAGTGAGGAGGTCGTTAGTGATTTTTATGAGTGCAGTTTCTGTACTGTGGCCAGGACGAAAGCCAGGCTGGAAGGGCTCATAGAGGCTATTGAGGGTGAGATGAGCATGGAGTTGAACAGAGATTATTTTTTCAAGGATTGTTGAAAGAAAGGGAAGATTTGAGATGGGACGAAGATTATTGAAATTATTGGGATCCGTGCCGGGTTTCTTTAATATTGGAGTAATAGATGCAGTTTTGAAAAGTGAGGGAACAATACCTGTAGAGAGGGAGGAGTGGATTATGGCAGTTATGAGAGGGAGAAGGGAGGTGAGACATGTTTTAACCAAAACTGTAGGGAGGGGCTCGAGAGAGCAGGTGGTGGGCTTGGATTTACAGATAAGATCAGATATTTCGGATGAGGTGGGAAGCAGAAAGGAACAAAATGACTGGTGGGGTGAAAAAATCTCGGGGGAGGGGAAGAACTTGGAATTAATTGCTGGTGTATGGAAGCAATTTTCTGAGTAAAGAGGGTTATTAAAGAGTTAAATGAGTCAGCAGAATACAGGTGGGGGGGGGGGGGGGGGGGGGGTAGAGAGTCCGGGGGATGAAAAATATTGTGCATTATTGAGAACAGAGTCCTGGAGTTGCCTTCATTGGAGGAAACCAATCCAGAGTAGAAAGCAGATTTTGTATGTTTAATAGAGTCCAAGTATTGAAGCAGATGAGTTTTGTGCATTTCTTTGTGTTTTGCAAGACCAGTTCGTTTATGGAGGCATTCGAGTTGACGTCCTTTGGCTTTAATTTGTCGGAGTTCAGGGGTAAACCAGGGGGCAGAGTTAGTAAAGGAGACGGACAGAGTTTTGACTGGGGCAAGCAAATCCAAGATATCGTGGAGTGTGAAGTTATAATGAGAAACAAAATGGTCAGGTGAAGCAGAACTAGGGATGCATATAGTGTTAATAATAGATGACAGGGTATCTGGGTTAATGTTTTTGATATTGCGGAATGAGATGTGACGGATAGGCTTAGTTCTTAAAGAGCAGAGGGGGATGTTGAATGACAGAAAAAAGTGATCAGATATATTTACATCATTAGCAGAGCAGTAAGATGGGGTTAAACCAGAGCAGCAGATTAAATCAAGAGAGTGACCTTTAATGTGCGTGGGAAAATTAGAATATGTTTGAAAATCGAAGTTGTTGAGGCAGGAGGAGAAGTCTCTGGTGAGGGGGAGGTTCAAGTTGGGGGAAAGGGTAGTGAGCTGGGTGAGAAATGAGGAGGTCATTTAAAAAGTCACTATTGGGCTTGGGTGGGCAGTAGATCAAGGCAATAACTGTAGGAGTGGGACCGGGTATTTGAAAAACAGAAGATTCCATGGAGCTGAAGACAGGAGTGGAGACAAGCAGCACCTTCCACTTCTCGCGATAGAGCAGCGCGAGACCGCCCCCGCGACCAGAGCCACGTGGATAGCATAGGCAAACAAAGCCGGGGAGAGAGGAAGCGTTAAGTTGGGAAAAGTCGTTAAGTTGCTGCCAGGTCTCCATGAGCCCGAAGAAGTCCAGTTTATGGTCGGTGATGAGGTCCTGAATGAGCTGACCCTTGTTTGTGAGAGAGCGGACATTCAGGAGGCCGAAGCTGACGGTGTTGTTGTGGTTGGAGGTCGCTGTCTTTGCCAGGCTGGCTAACGAGCGAAGGTCCGCAGTCCAGCCAGTGTTGGGGTGAGGACTAGGGCTGTCGCGGTAACCGCAAAAATGAAATATCGCAATATGAAGAAGCCCACCGCGCTGCATCATGCGCCACCGCGATTACTGAACTTGGTTCAACTCAATGATGCATGTTGAGAAGGATGGCTGCACTGGTATCTAAACGAAACGTTACTTCGCTCCTTTGGGAGCACTTTGGTTTTCAGTACGTCAGCTGCTGCGCAGCCAGAGTCCTTGGCCGAGACAGAGCTGCCACCAGCGGCAAAAAAAATAATAAACGCTCGGAGACCTGCTGAAGTCCCGGACAAGCACTGCTTCTGCAGCCATCCCGAAGAGAGTTTGAGCCGAGCTGGAGCTCACTCGCTACCTGCAGGAGGAATGCATCCACCCTAAAGAAACCCCCCTGACATGGTGGAGCAACAACCGGGAGAGATTCCCTTTGCTCGCCAGAGTCGCACGAAAGTACGTGTGCGTTAGTGCAACGAGCGCACCATCCGAGAGGGTTTTCAGTGTTGCTGGAAATGTTGCCACCCCTCTCAGATCCTCTCTCAAACCGTATATGGTTAACATGCTGGTTTTCCTTGTGGGTAACAAGGACGTGACCGAGCTATAAATCACCGTCATTCGTGTGTGTGAAAGTGAAATGATAGTGCGCCCGCTCCCCGGCGCGCGCGCGCCCGGTACATGTAATTTTTTATGCTTGATTTTAACCAACTAAACAAAATGGGGACTTGTTTCTTATTTGTTAGATGCTGCAGCCAAATTTGCATTTAAAAGTTTAACCTCCTGAATTTTGTTGTTTTTAAGTTCAGTCGGACTCCGACTGTCGGAGAAACAAACGTTACTGCGATCTGTGTTGTTACTGCCCTTTGATCTGCATTCAGTAAAGTGTTATAAAAGAAGGCACGGCAATTTTTAACCTTTTTTAAATGTGTAAACATTATGTTTAGATAGTACTGCAATAAAAAAGGGCTGCAATAATATCGCATACCGCAATATTAAGCCACCCTGTATCACCGCAGGGGGAATT